TATGTGTCAATCACTTGATTTTGATAAGTGTAACCCCCTTAATGAATATTCATGAATATGATGATTGTGATCACTATGTGTACGGGTCAATCAAATCACAAACTTCTTTATTTTTTTTTTATATATTAAAAAAAAAAAAGATGAATAAATCAAATGATAAAAAAAGAAGAAAAGAAAAAGATGCTGAAAAAATATATTGGTAAGTGTTTTAAGGATGGTGGTTGTGGTTATCACCATTTGTCATCACTCTAGTTATTATTTTTAAAAATGAATGGTGATTGTGGTTAGCTTGTTAAAATAAAATTATTTTTTTTGTATTCCATATCATTCATTTTCTTAAAACAAACATATATATATCTATATTTAGATAATCATCATCAACAGTTTCTATCAATCCTGTAAGTTAAATTATTTTAATAGAAAATGAATAATCAAAAGCCAAATTATCATAATAGAAATTATAAAAAAAAGCTCATTATTTCCTCTAACAAAAAAGGCTGTAGATGCAAAAGTTCCCAAAAACAATCTTAACTTAATGAAACTTGATGTATGTACTCATTCATACAATAGTTTTTATGTTTGTTTATTTTTTATAATAATAACATTAATTAATTACCTATTTTTATTTTAGGTTAAAAAGTTATAAAAAAAACTATATTGAAACCAATCGAGAACATTGAGAACAATTTGCTGTCATCATCTTCTTCACTGTTGTCAGAAGGACAACCTTGTTTGCAAACAAGAATCAAAGAGATAATCAATGCATTTTAAAGACTAGTGCTGTAAATTATGATGATGGTAGTAATTTTATTTACAGCATATAAAAAGTGGTTGCAATTACCTTTGCAACCGTACTTTTTCCTTTTTTGGATTACAGCACTAGTCTTTAATGCATTTGCACCATCACATTTAGATCGAAGTGGTTCTGCCATGTCCCTTCATTGAAATACCTTTTTTTTTAATGTAATCATTATTCTTACAGATGCAAAATCTAGCAAATTATTTGGTAGTCATATATATATTAGTGTATTGGTTATATATATATATTAATGTGTATATATGTATATATTAAGAAAAATATATAATACAAACTTACAAATGGTTTTTTATTTCATTCATATTGGTTTTGCTTATTACTTCATTGTCATTATTTATCATACAGCTCTTCATATGCAATATCATAACC